CTCTGCTTGAGGATCTCATTCTGGTGATTCCATGGCAGAGGGAGAGTTTGCAGGAAGCCACACTTTTATTGGTACGAGGACATGAATAGAGACGAGCAAAGGGGAACAGATGAAATGGGGGGAAATGAAAGGAATAAAGTCACAAAACAGAGGAATGGAAATATAGACAATAAAAGCTGGGGCAACTGGAAAGATAACTGATTCATGAGATGATATTTTAATTCAATTTTGGAAAGTAAATCAAAATAGGATAAAATGTACTGCAATGCAGTACACATTTGCATTTTATAAAAAGTGGATGTGTTATGGTCATACAATCATAAATATATGTGGTTGCATAGATACCACCACACCAACATCCAAAGACTTTGCCACCAAGGAACAGCACTCAGAGACGTGGGCCCTCACCTTGGGCCTGCTCATTCACTTTTTTGACTATAGATCATTAGCAATTCCTCTGAGTTCCAGTTCTCTATCTGCACACTGGGGACACTTCCACCTGCCCTTACTATTTCCCAAAGGCACTATGGGAGCAGGTCATTCGGCAGACACGTATTGAGTGCCTACTAAGGGCCAAACAGACGTGAATATGTAACAAAGAATCAATATAAAATGTAAAATTCACCCACATTTTTCTGTGATCGATCTCTTAAGCGTTATGTCTCTATGCCGCTAAATTCTGTAGCTCTCCTTTAGAAGTAGGATTTTTGTAACTAAATTGTGAAATTTAAATTTTAAATAGGATCTAGAAGTCTTAAAGGTAGTCAAAAATCCCTTGAGCTTCCCAATTCCTATGTGTTAAGTATTAATATTTCCATTCAATGAAGGAGGGAGAGACAAGAGAGGAAAGTTTTCTCCTAGGCTGCCAGCCACTTGGTCTAGGGTTTCCAGCTCCAAAATGTTTATGTTCTTTGCTATTTAGGCCCCTCCTAACTATCATCGAAGTGCTTTAACAAATATAGGTGCATTTTGCACAAAAAAACAGTGAAATCTAGGCCCTTAAAGACCCAACATCCAACCCAAGACCCAGGGACTTTGCCTGGATATTCTGCTTGGACATATTCAATGGCTGTGGCCATCCTGGGAGTCACAGGCCACCAATTGTTAACTGCTCCTCTCTCAGGTAGGGGTTAGATCGCTGGACTGCCACACCATACCAACTTCTCTTACATCTTCTCCAAATCCTCTGATCCTCTCATCACACTCATTTGCAATCCCTGGAGGGCTGTGTATTTCTGACCATCCTTGATATCCTGGCTCCTCATCCTAACGGCTCCCTCAATTCACATATACTTAGTTCTTGGAGGGATAACTCATTCTCAGGTGCTATAGCCTTTCAGAAGGTATCCCAGGAAATGAATGGAAGAGGTACTTTCATTTTCTGTTATGCAAAGCATGAAATTGCCTAACATTCCACCTTCTGATGAAAAACATTGCTGGAAACTGGATCAGTCATGTTTTCAACCTGGTAGTCTCCTTTTTCACCTGATACTCTGAGAACAATATTTCTTAGAGCACAGATGTTATTAGAAAAGAAAAAAAAACCATGATCAAATAAGCCTAGGAAACACTGGATTAAATAAAATTAGAAAGCTTTCTTTCTTATATGATTTTTTTAGATCCTTTGATCTGCTAATTGCACCAGGATGCCCCAAGATGGAGTTATAATATGCAGTACTTTCCCAAAATTCTTTGCCCATAGACTCTTTGTTTCAAGACTTTCCTCATGGGACTAATGTTCTAAAAGTTACTTTGGGAAATGCTAGTCTAGACTTATACTACTTGGATTAAATTTCTCTTAAAGAGAAAGCAAAATCATAGTGAAGGAGAAGGGGACAGGGAATAAAGGGGAAACGAATATAATTCTGCAAATACCTGGCAATACTTAAATTGAATTTCTTAAGGAAAAATGAGATTTTTCTGGAAAAGTAGCAAAGTGACTGATTTTTCATATTTCTTCATTTTCATATGTTTTGATCTCTTAACAAAGCTCAAGAGGCAATGTCAACATTTTGTAGCCCTTCTTCCATAAGTCACTGTTTAGTCAGTCAATCCTTAGTGCCCCAGGAAGGCCACGGCTGGAAGATTCATGGGAAGTGGATCAGGAATCCCTGAAAGAGACCTCTCCCCTTTAAGTCAGGTCAGTTAACATGGGTATGTTATGGATGTTTAGTTTAAATCTCATCCAAATCACCCCGCTATTAAGACTCTCATGTTGTCACATACTGATACAAGGCTGGCATTTTCTCCTAAGAAGTAGCTTTACCCTGTACTGGGAAAGACTTCCCAGCCAGTGATAACTACTACATTCTGGGACTTAGATTTATAATAGCGTATATATTGACATAGACATTGTTGATTACTAAATCTCAGATCTGCAGTACAGGGGAGGTGACCACTGCCCTAGACTGGGCACCTAGGCAGAAAGGGGGTCCAGGCCTGAGCGGACAGCCGTCGCCACCGGGAGAGCGAGCCTTCTTGCACACCAGGGTTCTTGCTTCACCCTTCCTCTCTAATTGAGAAGGTACAGCAAAAGAGCCTTACTACCTTACTGACTCCAATTTAAAACCCCCAAATTATCCTTCTCACCAAGGATATTTCAATTTCACAGTGAACCCTGCTGCAGACTCAATTTCTAAGTCATGGGCCCCTATTTAAGTCATAAGTACTTTTTATCTGTCTTGATCTGGTTGGCATGGCCCAGAAAAGAAGTGAACAGGACATCAGAAGACCTGAATTCTTGTCCTAGGACTAGGCAGCAAAGTCTCTGAAGGCAGGGTTCTGTCTCGTCCATCATGTTCTTCCTCAAGCCCCACAGAGTGGCTGGCATGGTACATGTGCTCCAAGTATTATTCAAATAAGCAAATATTAGCAGCAGGATTCCAGGCTATTCACCCCTCTCCCAGGGCCTGGATCTCTCACCTGGAGAAGGGAGCGAGGCTACCTGCTTGTATGTCCTGGGGTTGCTCAGCGTGTTCACTGGGATGGTGGTGCGAAAGTGGAAGACCATCACCATCCCCTAACGGCAGCAATGAGAAATGTGTGTCGAAGGTCCTGACAATATGCCTTAGCCAGACATTCTTCAAGGAATGCTAATTCTTCCTGGAAAGGCACCACCCTGGAGCAATTATTTCTGCCCCATGACAACCTCTAGTGTCAACAGACAAACATGAGGGTCAACCAAGTAGGCAAGACACTCTAGTTTGTGATTAAAGATCTCTGGAACAGTAGTAGGAGACTAGCTTTTGTGAGAAATATTCACAAGGCAGATAAATGTGGTCAGGTGCCCCATTCACAGCAGGACGTATTAGCATGTGTGCCTCTGTGATGAGACAAACCAGTTTGTTATCCTGGCAGGTCCTCATGTGACCCACTCCCCGTTTGGCTCTACTGTCTCTCAGGGGGGTAAAGCCAGGGTGACCTTATGCATGTGTAGCTCAGATGAATAATCAAAGTAGGGTCTGCAGGTCTTCCACCAGTGAAAGCTAACGCTCATCCTTGTGGGAGAATGCCAAGGAGCAAAGGGCAGGGCGAAGAAGGACAGTGAACAGACTTAGCTAGCAGGGTGCCAGGCATGCTGGCACAGGTGAGTGTAGGGAGGTGGTGGTGCGGTGAGGGGGGAGAATCGATATATAAAACCAAACCAGAACAAAAATATAGACATACAAGATAAAGACATGAAACTAATACCTCTACTTTTGAGATCTCCAAATCAAGAGCCATTTTTGAGAGCTAAAAACATGAAATGGTGCCTTTTTGCACTTGGCTTCAGAAATCTAGGTGTCCAGTGTAAATAGCGTCTGCAGTGTTGGGGTCTCTGAGGGCAAAAGCTTCAGGTACAAAGGTCAGGCCAAGCCCAGGGGCTGGGGAGCCTCCTGGTCCAGGCTGCCTCATTCCCCAGCTTTAGGAGAAACTTCTAATGTTGTGTTCTATGTAAACAGTACCCCCTGGAGTGGCACTCCTGGTAAAACACCTTAGAGACTTTGATTCTTAACTCCTCCTTTGAGATGCTAGTGACATGAAGTGAAAAGGAAACAGAGACACTAGAAAAAATTTGTAGGAGCATAATAAGCAGCTCCTCCGCAGCAAACAATTAAACCCTCTTTTCCCACAGTTGAACAAGCCCATACTCTCCCATACAAGCCCTCACGCTCCCATATCCAAAGGAGTTCACACTTACCTAGACGGTGCTATTGCATTACCCATTGTCTATACCTATGTACATGTGTAAGTTATACTAGGAGCACCAAAAATAAAAAGGAGAGGAGTGTCTCAGTACAATGTAGTAAGACATTTTGCTCATACTGACTATATTATCCTGCTAGTTTGCATTTAATTTCCTAATTTCCATAAAATCATTGTCAAGAGTTTTAATACTAAACACTATAACCCATTTTTGCATTTGGTGGGTGAACGGGAATATCATTGAACTGCAGGTGGTTTTTGTTTTTGTCAATCCATCTTTTCATTTGCTTTTACTTAATCAAGGGAGGAGACAGGATCCAAATCAAATAAACCAGACTCCTTGACTTCACTGGCTAAAATGGCAACAAAACAGATTTCTCTTCTTGTTGTTTTACTGCACCGTTAATTTGCATCACTAAGGAATTTTCTAGGACAGTGCTCAGCAAACTCAAGGCTTCTCTGGTTGCTGAGCTCCTGGAAACAGAGTGCTTTCGCTTAAAACTTTGAAAGAAACATTCCAAAGTAACCCGCCATTAGATAGTGAGCCAGCGATTGACTATATACCTATGAAAGAAGAAAGGAGGGGAGCAGAGAAAATGCATAACATAAACAAGAAAAGACAAAAAATTAAAGAGGAAGGAGAAAGGAAAACATTTAGATTCCTTGAGTGATGGAAATAAATACCAAAGCTATTAGTTTCAGTTCAAAGAACATATCACTTTATGCTGTTTATTATTTCTTGAGGATTATTTATTTTATCTTAAGATATCCAAAGGGTAAAAAGGGTCCAGGAGGTAAGCGCCAATGAAACTAACCTGGTCTGGAGAGGGCCTGTGATTGGAATGTTGTGGCCTCCCAGGAGATCGGTGGTGGTGGTGGTGGTGGTGGTGGTGGTAATGATGGTGGTCCTCGTCGTAGTTGTCTGCTATCAGCTTCATTCTGTTCTGGGTCTGTGCAGAACAAAAAAACCCAGAAGATTCCATCAGGAGCTAGAAGACCAATCAAAGAGCTTCAGGGCATAATTATGGTACCTAAAGGCCTTCCTTTGCTCCTAATCCAGAAGTTTTCATTTTTAGTCAAATTGAAACTTAATAAAGAAAGCACCATGCCATTAGCTTTGGTGAAAAAGGTTTTGTCTCATCCCTGGAGCTATAATGTTACATCTGTAGATGTTAATGTGCTTCCCTGACACCCTCCCCCCCCCACACACACACAGAGTGCCAAGGATCACATCCGCTAGCCAGAGAAGGCAGCCCTGGAGGGGACGATGGGAAAGGGCTGGATAGAAACACAGAAGGACAGATAAACAGTGGTCTCACAAGACAAAGCAGGAAAGTCCACTTGAAAGCTGCCAAATGCAGAAATGCCCATGGAGATGGTTTGTGGCTATGATGGCTTCTTGAGAAAGGGCTCCCTATGGACCTTTTAATCGATTTTGTTCCTTGAGGGAATTGAGCAAAAGGTGCAAAGTTGATGAAAAAGAGCTGACCGCTCTAATTTGCAGCTCATGGTGTTTGTCCCAGGAGGCTAGGTGTCATAGTTAAACTTCCAGGATCATAGAATTGTATTGCTTTATTATGCAGGGCAAGACATAGACCAGTGATGAATGGACCCGACAGGCTCACAGAATCTAGCAGAATACCTAAAGACATGGAACAAAGCAGATAAAATTATCCAACCTAGAAAGCTAGGAAATGTGGGTTTGGTGATGGGACTGCCTGGTTTCAAGTCTTGCTCTACCTCTTTGCTGGTTATGTGGCCTTAAGAGAGATAACTGTTCATAAACTTCAATTTCCTCAACTCTAAAGTGGGAGCAATAGCACCTCTTTCCCTGGGGTTGCTGTGAGGAGCAAATGATACGATGGACTTTTCAAGTGTCCGTCCAGTACCTGGCAATAAAAGTCAAATGCTGTTATTGCCGTTATTGCTGCTGTTGTTTGCTGTAGGAAATTTCCCCTTCTTGGTTCATTGTTTCCTTGGCCTGTGATGGCTCCTTTGGCCCTCCCCTCACTTCCAACTCCGGTGTCTGGCTACCTCCCAGTATTTTCTCTAGGAGCCTTTTCCTGACTCCACGGGTGACACATGCCTCCTGCTGAACACAGCTCTCCAACCATGGATTTATTTGCCACATGTCTGTAGACCCTGAAGCTATTTTTTTATCTGCCTCTTCCCAGAATCCAGCACAGGCCCACTAGATGTAGACACGCAGCACCTGCTGCTGAAATGAGTGACTGAAGGAAGGAGGGGCCGTGGTTTTGAGGATGCTGCCATCCTAGAGAGCAGCTACGTGCTTGTTTTCAGCAGGGAGGGTCACTGAGAGTTGAGGACAATTCATGAGTTGCCTAACGGTCCCTTTGGTGGCTCAAGATGACAGTGAGCCATGAGTACTTCTTTAAGACAGCCAGAAATCAGGGGCTGGCAGAGCCTCCGACCAGTTGGAGTTTTATTATGTAATATAAACGATACTCTGATAATAGAGAATTCTGGACCTAACATAGTTGCATTCTTGTAGTATTTTTCACACACAATTTCATTTATTCTCAAAACTTTCCCAGAGGCAATTATTACTATTCTCATTTGGCAGCTAGATAAGTAAGGCATAGATTTCAGTCCCTCAGAGTCCCTTTCTTAACACAGAACGTGATGATTTTCTGGGTCATCCAATTCTCAATCTTTAGGCCTCTTTTCTTGCCTTGCTGCTAACAGAAAAGCCAAACAACTGAACAGGTAGAAACAGCTTTCCCATACAATGCTTTGGTTCTGCTAAGTTTTGGAAACACCTCACATCCCAATTCTATCTGCCAGAGGAGGTCACATGATTTACTCACTCTATTTTTTAAAATTTGTACAATATTTGAAAGGCCCCAAAGTGAATGTAAAAAACAATGTGCATATGAATAAAAACAATAAAAATAGAGAAAAAGATCCACTTAGAAATTAAATAAAAAATCCCAGGCAACCTTTGGCAGTTGATAACATTTCCATCTTCGCTTGTCCACTTAAAGTGTTGGAAGACCCCACGAACAAGTTACGCCTTGTGAGAAAGAGCAGGTCAGCAGGGCTGTTGCAGACCAAGTACTGAGATCCCCCTAGTCAGGCTTCCATTTCTACATGAGATTCTGAAATACAGCGCTCACACCTACAATTCTAGTATTGTTAGGAGTCTGTACTTTTGAACTCATCAACTAATAAAGCTGGAATTGTTTCTTCTAAATACAATTCGGAGAGCCTGAAGGAAGCTGTGAGATCTGCTATGGGCAAGATGGAATGGACTTGCCCAAGAATGAACGATGGAGCCTAAATGAACAAATAATAACTCTGCTATTGTAAACATCATAATGTCCTTATCCTTTGGGGAAGCTTCTGTGATTTTATGAGATTATTTTCTTACCAGCGACAAGCCTAGAGTTCCCTACCTTTGAACTGTATTCCATAAAAGAATGTACAAGCTAAACAAGATGCTATATGCAGTCCTAAATGTGTCTGCTGAAATGAGGTGTTGGAGAGTAGGCATGTCATGGGATAAAGACTGTAAATGAATGATGTCATCTTTCCAATTTGGTGCTGAAATGTAAATAAACCACGTTGTTCATGTGAATACCAGATCTGGGGAAATGTACACAGAGCAATTGTGAGCGGAAGAGGCTTCTTTTGATTAGTCTGGGCTGGAAGAGAAGAGTGTGAAACAGAGATGAAAAATGAGAGTTTGGTCTGATACTGGAGACCATTTTTATTTATCTTGCTTGTAACATATCTCCTAAACTGTGACCGATTTCTTACAGGCTGGTTTCTAGTGTTCTCTCCTATAAAAACAGTTTGACCAATCCTGTTCCTTTGATTGTCAAATTGAAAATGGATCTCTTATCATTTTATAAAAAATCTGCACTACCTACCCTCATCCCCACCCAATTATACTGGTTTCCTAACACATAAGCTATGGTCTGGACAGGAGAGGAAGTCAAGAATAACACTCCCTAATGGTCAACGAAAGAAACTGCAGAAAGCTGTAACGAGGATTGGAACAGGGACACCACTTGTTCAAATAGCTCCTGACACTTTACCAGGTGACCTCACGTCTAATGGCTCATACCCATCAGACACAGCAGGTGCCCACCACAAAGCCCAACAGCAAGTCTTCCGGCAGTCGAAACTGAAAGCCCGGGAAAACTGAGACCGAGTTGGACAGGGAGAGCCTTCCGCACACAGCACTTGGGAACTTGGGGACTCATTCAGTGATCCACTGAGGCCCCTTTTCATTTCCTTTGCAGTGTCTACCAAACTGCTGACCAGACACTTCTACCTTTGGCTAACTGTACTCTTTTTACTATATTCTGTCATGACTGTGGAGACAAATCTAATCAGATTTCATTTTCTACTTCCTCTTTCTTCCAGGCGCCAGCCACCTTCTTTCTCTAGGCCGCAGCCCTAGCAGCAACCTGCCGCACTGCACTCTTGCCTCCCGTGGAGCACATTCCAGCCAGAGTGACGCCAGGCTCCTCTTCCTTCCTGAGTGCAAGTTCTTTGGAGCTTCTTGGGGCATCAAGTCTCTTTCTAGGTGACTGCTATTTACCTGTGCAGCACCCTCTAGAGCCCGTCTCCCGGACCTGGGGACATGTTGTTCTCTGTCTCTACCCTGCCCTTCATCCTCTACCCTTATACCTGCGTCACACCCGTCCCTTCTTCCCGTTTTAGTTTCAGCACCTTTGCCTCCAGAAACAGTGTCTCCCTGGGCCCCCTGGGGGGGGGGATTAGGGACCACCCCCAGCCCTGATGGTGGTACTTACCTCATGGTAAATAACTGCATGTTTGTTTGGCTTTCTCCACCACTAAGTGGAAAATCTCTTGAGGGAAGCCCTGTGTCTGGATCACCTTCTACTCCCCACCTAGCACGGAGACTGGTGTAGAAACGGTGAGTAAATGTGTGTCAGATAAGTGTGTGAATGTATAAACGAACAAACGGGGAGGCACAGGCTGCTGTGGAACAGATAGGAGGGGAAAATGCACAATGGTAGTCTGGGATGAGCCAGCAGAGTAGTTGACTCTCGATGTAATAGTTTAGCTTTTCCTGTTGTTTGCTGTTTTTGTCTGCTGTAACTTTTGAAAGTGGAGAAAGTGGAGTACATGGATGGTTTTGGAGCTGTTGGGCCAATCAATTTGGTCTTCTTCTTGATGTATTCCATTCCTTAGTAAAGTGGATGCAATGAAATGCTCTACCACCTCCTCAATTACTCACCTCACTGGGAATAAGGGACATTTGAGTGTTAGCAGGTTCATTTCCTCACTACCCCCAAGGCTTTGGAGGAGCAGGGGACTTTGGAAGGCTTTTGATAGTGCCAAGAGTCAACCATGGAAAACTGAAGCTTTATCCATTAACCAAAATCCCTAATGAACACCATCTGTGAAAAGGTGCCAGAGACTCCATCTCTTTTGACGTTTCTGAAGCATTTATCCAAGGAGCTCTTGACACGAAATGAAAATCCTTGATTGACTAGTAATAGACTCAATAGCTTAATGGCAATATGTAGCTATAAAAGCATAATATTAAAACTGCCTTTAAAAATATTTTAGCAAGGTGGCAATAACAAACTATGCTTTGATCAATCATCTGGATCAAGTTAACAAAACCTTCATGAATATGGTTTAAATAAATAAAAAAAAAGAATAAGATTTGCTGTTATGGGATATGGAGATAATAGCAATTACAATTGCTATAGCAATTACAGTTTTATTCTATCAGGTTTTCTTTTCTCTTTCCCACCAGGGAAATATAAAATATTCAGGAACTCTTCTACTAGTTTTGTTTCCACCTAATCAGAGCAAGGTGAAAGTTCTCTCGTCTCCAAGTAGAAGATGAGGAAACCAGACAGCTGGACAGTGAGTGGAGGGGGTGTGTTCCTGGACACCTACTAGCTGACACAGCAGTGAACCGTGGCCGAGCAGGATCTGGGTT